TGACTAATGTCTCAAATCTCGTTTCCATATCTCTAGCTCACTATACTAAACAGATCATACTCCTTTAAGGATCTTTGAATATTAGCTAGCACTTGCATAGTACATTTTACAAGTTTCTGGCAGTCCAAGCAAAGCAAAACTTTACTCCTGTTCTTTACTGTTCAATGTATGGCTTACTAAACTTGACTCTTCCTATCTGGTTATTGTCTCCTGAAATATTTATTCCCTTTATGTATATTCACTCCTCTCCTGTCCTATGCCAAAGACACTACAGTCCCAGCCACCCTCCCCAGTCAAGCAGCCAGCCAATGCCCCTGCCCCTGACAAATTAGACAAGATGTCTGAAATCACTCTCAGAAAGAAGAAGAACACTGATGCTCAGGCTGCTTTCCGTGCACGCTGTGCTAACTATATTGCCACCCTCGAAGAGACAGGTCTGTCTGCTGCTAAGTACCTAAATATTCATGTTCCGACAACTAAGTGTCCGTAAATCGCAGTAACCAGCTTAGAGGCAGTTGTAGTCCAGCTTCAGGACTCGTGTCGCGAGGCTCGCGCCAAAGCCTCAGAATTGTGTCAGGAAAACCACTACAGTGTCTAGTCTGTAGATTATGTAGTATATACAAAAATATATTACTTTTGTACTTAGATACAAAGAATAATACTCTAACTCATCTCTTAAATTTTTTTTCTCTCAGGTCCGGTTATGGACCGGTCCAGAACCGGACTGGAACTTGGGTCCGGTCCACTACCCGTCCACATAGGTCCGGTCCCCAGTCCGGGACACTCCCGGACCGCAGATTTGGTCCGGTCCTGAGTCCAGGTGAAGTATGCCCGGACCGGACCAGGACCGGACTTCAGCAACTATACCCACAGCAGACATATTAGTTAGAATACAACAAACAAACATATTCACATAAACAATATTCTGAAGCAGGCCTCTGATTGGATAATAAGAATATGGTTTAGAATATAGGACAAATTTGTTTGTGTATCATATTCTAATATGTCTGCTGTGACCATTACACTTTTGTGCAGAGACAAGGCAATATATTTGAATGTGAGCTTTATAATCAAACATAAGGACATTATATTTTGCACAGCACAATATTCAAAAAAAAAGTGCCTTAGCAACATATCCTAAGTACATTCTCATGTTTGTTTTAGAGTGATGAATCAACTAAATTTGTACAACAAGTAAAAGGCAGACAATGTCTAAAATATGCGTTTAGTAGTGCAAAGCATACAAAAAGCAAATAAGGGGAAAAGGCACGATTCTAACAGTACTAGTGTCTACTTCTCACTTGTGCATTCTTAGTAATGAAACAAATCAAGATTAAGATAACTAGTTTGACACAAAGCCTTCCACATACAATTTTATACAGGCATATTGGTTACGATTGCAATTAGCAAGTTCAATTTCCAAAGAACTTCCCAGAAACAGGACGTGTTCCTAAGACGATGGAATAAGCAAACGGACTGCCGCAGACATGAACTCCAGCTTCTCAGGTGTATACGGAGGGTACCGATTACCCAAATGCATTTCCATCCTACACACAAACACACAAAAAAAAACGAATCAGTTTCTTGTCAGAATGTCTAAAGTAGAATAGAAGAGAGAGAAACATACGCAAGCGGTACATCCTCCGAACTCCTAAAATGCGTAAACCCATCAAATCCATACTTCACCACCTGCATACCATATCCCGACTCGCCCACCCCACTAAACGGCATCTCATCCACCGCGAGTTGGTCAAACGTATCGTTGAATATCAAGGACCCGCTTAACGTCTCTGCCATAAGACGATCTTTCACTTCTTGGCTTTCTGTGAACGCGTAGAATGCCAGTGGGTGGTCGTGGTCGTTGATATAGTTAATAGCTTCGTCGAGATTCTCGACGGGGACGATTGGGAGAATAGGTCCGAAGAGTTCTTCTTCCATGAGTGAGTCGTCGCCCGGAACGTCAGTGAGCACAGTAGGTGCGATCTTAAGTCTCTCCGGATCCACCTCTCCCTGAATCGCCAAACGTCCCTTCGACCGAGCCAACAACTCCCTCAACCGTTCAAAATGCGCAGCATTCACAACCCGCCCATACGAATCACTCGCAAGCGCTCCCTGCGGATACCGTTCCACAATCACCTCCTTCATCGCACTCACAAGTTCCTCCTGCTTCGACTTCAAAACCAAAACATAATCCGGCGCGATACACGTCTGCCCCGCATTCGCACACTTGCCATACAAGATCCTCCTAGCAGCAACCTTCAGATCCGTCGTCTCCGCATCGACATACACAGGTGACTTCCCTCCCAACTCTAGCGAAACAGGTGTAAGGTGCTTCGCAGCGGCCGCTGCAATCACTCGTCCAACTTTCCCATTCCCGGTATAAAATATTTGCGCCCACCTCAATTCGAGTAACTTCGTCGCCTCAGGTACAGCACCGTTAACAACCACATAGGCATTCTGGTCGAGGTATTTCGGGAAGAGGTCGGCAAGAAGTGCAGCGAAGTTAGGCACATACTCAGAAGGTTTAAGAACCGCGGGACACCCGGCAGAAATGGCAGCATACACAGCTTGTAAGGAAAGAATAAGCGGGTAGTTCCAGGGCGATATAATAAGAACGGGCCCTTTTGGACAGCGATATACAGTTGGGTTCCATGGTTGCTGCCAGTCTGGGAGGTTCTTGCATTTCTCAGGCTGTGCCCACTCCTCGAGGCGCTCTGCGCAGAGTAGAGCGCGCTGAATGACGGCGCCGACTTCGAAGGCGAAGAACTCGAGTTTCGGCTTTCCTAGGTCCTTGTAGACAGCGTCGGCTAGAGCGTCCGCGTTCTCCTGGCACATGCGTGCGAGGGCGTAAAGCTGCTGGCGACGGTAGGCTAGCGGGCGACATGTGCCCGCTCTGAAAGTTTTGTAGAGAGTCGCATGGTGCTAGTTGGCGACCATTTAGTATGTACTTATTATGTATAGGAGATTCTTTATACTCACCCGCTCGATATCCTCCAAGGGAGTATGCAGACGCGGGTCGAGCGGCGCTGCGTCCGTCGGCGGCTTGCTGTGCTTGAACTGCTTCTGGCCCATGTCGTCGTCGTCGTTGTTATCCTGAGAGCAAGCCATAACGCAGCTGGGGGAGGCTTATAATTGGTGGCCTGGAAAAAGAATGATCCCAAGCAGTCCAATGCTTCTCATGACCTTTGTATTGATTGGACATCAACTGATCGGGTGTGAATTATCCGTGTGTATTCGCCCCGTGGGTCGCATATTCAATCCGGAACCCTATTTGCCGCCGATAGTTCCAGGTCCCAGTGCATGTCTTCTGACAACGGCAACTGGACACGGTCACAGTGGGCATAGCTGGTAGAAATGGCGTCACAGAAGGTGTGTTCTCGCGAGTGCATCCAAATTTGAAAACCAGTTGGGTAACGCCACACCGCACGTTGCACTCTCGGCGCTCGGTATCCTCCACTTGACGGCTTGAACGTTGCTCAATGCAACTCAAAAATAATAATAAACTGTGTAGAATAAAACCCTAAGCTCGTGACAAGAAAAGGTCACGTGCTAATCAGCTCTGGCGCAGCGTCCAGCAACGACAGCAGCAGCAAACACTCTCACCTCATCGTGAGCACAAAGCAACGCGCTTTCCTTCACTGCTCCGACGCGTCTGCCACCAGCCATGCCAGACGTCCCGAGTCCGACTCCCACCCCGGAGCTCCCAGACGAGGAGGAATACTACTCCTCATGGTCCCTCTTCCTCGTTTGCATCCTCCTCATTATCTCTCTCTGGACATCCTATTACCTCCAAATAAAACGTATACGCGCAATTCATGAGACACTGGTGTCTATCGGAGCAGGGATGGTGGTTGGCTTTGTTGTGCGTCTCGCACCAGGGCACTTGATTCGGGAGATGTTGGTGAGTGCAGCGCAAGCTGTTCGATCAAGCGAGTCAACTGACGTGGATTCTATCTCTCACAACACAGACCTTCCATCATACTATATTCTTCAACCTATTGCTGCCTCCTATTATTCTTAATTCAGGTTATGAACTCAAGCAGGTGAGTCTTTCGCGCTGCTCTACTCAAAACAGCCTTTAATGGTTTGAGCCCAGGAAATGTTCTTCCGCAACTTTGGTTCAATCCTAATATTTGCATTCCTGGGCACATTTATTTCTGCAGTAGGCTTAGGGTATGTCCGACCATTCTTAACATGAGCGGCTGATTAACGATAAAGCAGAGTGCTCGTGTACATCTGGTCGCAACTTGGTCTCGAGTCGTTAGACCTCGGTCTACTGGAATGCCTCATGTTCGGCTCAACACTCTCCGCGACAGACCCAGTAACGATCCTCGCCATATTCAACCAGTACAAGGTGGATCCCAAGCTATACAACATCATCTTTGGAGAGAGTCTGCTGAACGATGCTGTCAGTATCGTCATGTACGAGTGCGTACTCTTTCACTCGCCTTTGTTCCTGCCCCTCCATTGACCGCGTCCCATAGAACTCTTTCCAAATTCAACGCCCCAGAAATAGAGGTCTATTCCATCTTCCACGGTATCGGTGTGTTCCTCCTCTCCTTCAGCGTCTCCATGGCCCTCGGCATCGCCTTCGGCCTCTTCATGTCCCTAACCCTCAAACACTCCTACCTCGCCCAGTTCCCCAAGATCGAATCCTGTCTAGTCGCACTCTGCGCCTACACCTGCTACTTCTTCTCCAACGGTCTCTCCATGTCCGGTATCGTCTCCCTCCTCTTCTGCGGAATCACACTCAAACACTACGCATACCACATAATGTCTCGCCGAACCCAACGCGCAACAAAATACATCTTCTCAATCCTCGCTCAACTCTCCGAGAACTTCATCTTCATCTACCTCGGTCTCTCACTCTTCACTTCCGCTCCCTCTGCAAAAGTAACGAGTTACTTCAAACCTCTCTTCATCATCATCTCTACCGTATCCGTCATATTCGTCCGTTACGCTTCTGTCTTCCCGATTTCTGAAGCTATCAACCTCTTCCAACGACATGTACGCGGACAACGTCAGGACGAAATCCCATATTCATACCAGATGATGCTGTTCTGGGCTGGTCTGCGCGGTGCAGTCGGCGTAGCGCTCGCAGCAGGGTTTCAAGGAGACAACGCACCAATGATGCGAACGACCGTACTCGTCGTCGTCGTACTCACAGTCGTCATGTTCGGCGGCACAACAGCCCGCATGCTCGAAATCCTCAACATCCGTACAGGCGTAGAAGACGACGGTGCAGTCAGCAGTGACGAAGAAGACGCTGCTCATCTACTCGGCGGTCCCGGTTTCTTCGGTGGACGACGTAATTCCGAAGCAGGAGGAGAAGGAGGAGGAGGAGGAGGATGGGGCCGATATCGCGACGACGACCACCCTTATTACTCACAAACCCGCGCAGCACGCATCGCAGCACAATACAACCACCACGTCCAATCCGCCTCTCTCTCCGGCTCACAAAACCAAAACAACATCTTCTCCGCCGCATCCTCATCAGACGAATACGACTCCGACCACGGTGAAGTCCTCCCACTCGCCTCAACCGCCAACGGCGGTCCTTCAAGCACGGCAGACCGTGAAGCTGGCAGTCGAAAAGACACCAACAAATGGAAATTCCGAACAATAGACGAACGCTACCTCATCCCTCTCTTCTCAAACGCAACCGCATCTCGTACATTCCACGAACGCAGACAACAACGTCGCACGCGAGCAGGCGACACCAGCGTCGAAGGATCTTCCACTCCCAGAGGAGGAATCGTCGTCGTCGGTGGCGGCGGCGGCGGCAGTGGTGGTAATGGGACAGACTCAGGTAGGGGTGCTACACCTGCTGAAAGCGAGGACGAAGGTGGTGGACAAGAAGTTGATTTGCGTGAAGGCGCGAGGAGGAGTCGGACGTCATCTACTAATGGAAATGGGTCGACATGGACGGGGACGGTACTCGAGCAGAGAATTGGTAGTCCTGCGCTTAGGACGCCGAGGGACTTTGGTCGGTAGTGTTGCATGGGACGTATGTTTGAATTGTAGACGTACACTTGGTGGCTATTTGAGCATAGAGTTAGTTATTCAGTACTGGAGTAGTTTACAGTAATCTTTACAGGTCGTTTCTTATTTATCATAACTATTGTGCATCACGTCAAGTTATGGCAGAGGGAGCCACTTTTGAAGGATAGAACGGTTGAATATTTATTGGAAAGGAACCTCGAATTCATTCATAATACACTCTGTTTCGGACAGCTAAGTAGTTAATATACAGACACGAAAGAACCATATAACGCACAAGACCATCGGAGTAAAAACAAAAAAAAAATCGGAAATTAAGCACGAATTGGCAAGAACGACGAAATTGTACGGGGATAGGGTCAACAAGAAAGCACGATAATGAGAACAAGAAAAGATGAAGAATGCATATGGATCAAGCGTCAACCCTTGGTCTCTTATTACCACGTTCACTTCCTTCGCCATCCGCCTCTGCCGTGGCCTCAGAGGATGAAGCGGGCTGCTTTGTACCAGTAGCAGACGCTAGCTCGGTCTTGAGAGTCGCGATTTCTGCCTCAGCTTTCTCGCGTCGATGCAGCTCTTCCTGATACATGCGGCGCATGTCCTCCAATTGTGCCTGGAGGTCTCCCATCGCTTGGTCCATGAGCAGCTTCTCAAGCGTCCACTTCTCAATATTGCGCGCCTCATTCTCTTTGAGGTGGTGAATGTACTGCACGGAACGGCTGAGGATCGCGCCCTTGGCCTTCTCGCCCGTCCCGTTCGGCACGATACGCGCAAGCTCGTTGATTCCTTCATTAATGTTTCCACGCCGACGGCGCTCAACTTCTTTCTATATTTGAGGTTAGTATATGCGCGAGATGCACACAGGGAATGAATAACGAACATGGTTATCCTTCCGTTGTCGCGCCCATTCCTCACTGCCCATGATAGTACCGTTAACTGTTGGAGGCCCCGCCCTGCGGCGTGCTGGCTTCTCAGCCGAGAGTGGAGGTGGAGGCGCAGACATATCCGTTGAGCCTGGAGGGGGCATGTGGCCGGGTGCGTGGCCGAGAGTCGGAGGACCATGTGGATGAGTGCTTGGACCAGACTCTTGAAGCTGAGGATGAATGTTCGGGTTCTGCGGAGGGCCACCAGCCTGGGAGAGATTGGAAAGAGTCTCTGCGGCAGCCTCCTTGACTTGGTCGACAGATTCCTATATAACGCATGTCAGACTGTGGTTGAGCAGAGTATATGCGCTGAAATTAACCTTCTGGTTCTGGTTCTGGATGAGGGTCAGTAGTGCGGACATGAGCTGAGGGTCCTGCTGAAGGGACTGATTGCCATTAGCGCCGGGGGTGACGCCAGCATCCTTGATTGCCTGGAGTGCGGTAGCAACAGCAGTAGCAGATACGGAGGGGTTGGGTATCGGAGCAGACTGGGTGGTTGAAGGGGCTGACTGGGTGGAGGTGGACATGACGACGAGCTAGGTGGCGGATGGCTGTGGCCGTGAGACTGGGAGAATTGTGGTAGGTGATCAAAGAACGTGACACGGGAGGGTGATGAGGAGGACCAGGTTGTTTTGGTTGTTTGAGCGCGGTACGGCGCGTAGTGATCACGGGGAGAGGGCAAGATCACGGGGAGGAACAAGAGGTCACGACGTCTAGTCCGGTTTTTTAAGGGAAAATCTACAGCATTTTGAGCGGAGTTTGAAAATAGACTCGATTAAGCACAAGAGGTACAGCGTTTGGATGAATAAATGACTTTCTAAATTGATTGTTTGGCATTCTTATTGACAGCCTCTGAGTTGATGCCGAAGGTACAGAATACCCAGCCGTCAAAAGTCTCCTCAGACTCTATGTCTGCAATTATTGGTTAGGACCTACTTTGTGAGACACTGTCCTCTCCATGCCAAAGATTCCTGGTATGTACCTTGCATTTCCTTGCCTCACATTGACAAAAATTTCTCCTGAAATTCACAGTTGTCAGACTCATCTATAATTTGGCTATCTTCACTGTAGGCATGCTAGAGTTTTAGATTGCTAAGGTACTAGGACAGGGAATGGATGTTGATCTATATATTTTACTGTACATGTTATGTTTCGTTTTGTGTCTAGACATTTTATGGTATAATGAAGTTATGAGGATATCACTGAACTTGGAGAGTGTAGAAAATAGTAATGCAGGTATCACTGAATGAAGTAGTGTGTAGAAATAAGTTAATCCTTATATCATTGCCGGACTTTCCCGCTGACGGGGTTTGAACTTGGATCACGTAAGCCACGAGGCAGGATTTCGGCGCCATCCCTTTCAGACTGTCATTCACTACTTACTGTCATGTCCTTTGTCCTTGCAATGAACATAACTATGTCTCTGCCTCGTGACCACGTCGGAGCTCCGCCTCACAGGCAACTCCTCCGCTCACCTAGCACATGCATCATGAAAGTTTATGGTTTGGTCCTCAGACAACATGCGTTGTATTACTCCCGCGTACTTTCACGCCCGTGATCGAAGCCTGATATCAAATACTATATTTGGCTCTGTTTACCTCAAAGTAGAAAGCTTTCTCTGATTCTGCAACGAATCTTGTTCATATATCAATCACCGACTCACCTGGGCACACACATACGCTAGGTCGATTTCTAGGATCCGCCTCTTTTCAACGCAAGTCCATCATCTGCTCGTCAAGGCAGTTTTCATAGTGCTTAGCTCTCGCAACTCTGATGGGATGGTGCCGATGGTCCCATGCTTGTTTCCTGACGATCGCACGTCGGCCAAACCAGCGTTGAGTCGCATAGTAGCCTACACTTCATCTTCATCTGGTGGCGTCTAATCATGCTATTTCGGATCGAGCAACGAAATTCGAGCGGCTGCAAACAACGCCCAGAGTCTATTCCATCTCGGAATCTCACAACTGGCGCCTCAGTTCCTGAAGCTTCTATCTTCCAGTATTTCCTCCTTTGATCACCGCATATGCTCAACTGGATATATATAATCCATTCAGCCCCTCGTCAGCGCTGGGCTGGGCGGACTCTGCGTCTCCGGTAAATGTGTCTCGACTACCCTGGCGGCATCACCTTGTGAACAATGAGTGCCGACGACCTGAAGCTGTTCCTCAATGCTGTACATGATTTGCGCATCACTAACGTAGGTCGCGATATTCTTCCAACATTTAAAGTACATACTAAATGAGCATTTCTCATCAGGCGGTTACGAGTGAGCGTGTTCATCTGGTGATTTTGCACACTCTGACACCATGCCTCGTTCCGCTTAGCCTCATCGCTGGTCGTATTGGTTTACGATATCTTCTTGACATTTTCAGAGTGAGTTACTATTGCCTTTACACTTGTTCAGCTGCTCATCCCGCGCCTTATCTAGAGAGGTCAGGATTTCCCGTAACAATAGGATCTCAGGCAGATCCTTATTCGCATATATTCAAGGTCGAATATGTCTGGAAAGCCAAATGGTCATCTGGAAAGGCTCTCTTTTTCCTGAACCGCTATCCAGTCGTATTAGTTTCGATCATCCTGATTGCCAGTAAGTTGGGAACAGCTTGGTTCGAGAAGATATTCTGATAACCGTTGTTAATCCCCCTGTTCTACCTCACCTTAGGTGAAATGGACGTTGCGTCTGAGCTAAAGGTACGTTCTCGGAGTGTTTATAACGAAAGATACGACCTCACATGAACTGATTTGTCGTATTTTCAACAGACGTTAGTGGTATTTCATCCTGAACAGCGAGATTTTTGACTAAGTATGATTTGTTTTGCAAGATGTGAAGCTGCGTACCGTCTGGAAGGCTGGTACGTCATCATATACAACATCATCTATATACTTTCTTAATCTGACTGCACCCAGGTCGATGTTGGCGTTCATAATTCCAGTGCAACGTATGTAATTCGTTTTAGGATTACGATCGAGCTCGGCAGCTTCTTCCTACAGTCATTTTCTGTCTTCGAACAAATGCTCTCTGGGAACGGAACAAGATCATCTTCACATTTCTTTTGGTGTCTATGCTCGTACGTCCTTCCCACAGTGTTTCGTGGGCTTCATCTAACTTGATTTGTAAGGCGTGTGACACCATTATTAGTGTCTTTATCTGGATGTCAGAACGAACGGGCCAATGTACGAACATTATCTACCGTTTTAATCGCATTCGCTGACGGACAAACCATAGTTATCTTACCCCAATGGCCAGGGTGAGTGCAAGACGTGTTTCCCAGCCAAGTCAATTCGCTGATACCATTAAGGTTGCGAGAACTCATGGGATGCTACGCAGACATTTCGCAATCGTCCTCGCCTAAAGTCATCATACCGGCCGTTGCAGCGCTCATGGCGTTTGACTCTGCCATCCTAGTTCTGACGATCCTGCGTTTTGTTCAATTCCGTAAGTAATTCTCCTGCATTGAAGTAACCATACATAGACATAAATGATTTTTCACTTATAGGGAAGGATGGAGGAGGACAAGGTTTCGTAGTAAGAATACTCTTTCGTGATGGTACGCCTGCCTTGCCCTTCTTCAAAGATGACTTCTTCACTAATGCCATGCAGGACTTATCTATTATATCGTCGTACTCGGTACGCCATCCCCTCATCCCTTCTTATTCCCTCCAGATTTATAATTTGCTGTCCAGCATCAAGCATCGCAAACCTCATCCTCTACGCCATCCTGCCCAAATCACACGCAGCACTCATCGGCACACTCGTCCCGCTCCTCCGCACAGTAATGAGCGTATGCGCAAGTCGGCTCGTGCTTAACCTCCGCGGAGCTATCGATCGCGTGCGTACCAGCAGTAGCCACGTTAGCAAGACGTCAATATTAGTTGGGAGTGCGAGTGGTGGTGGCAGCAATTTGTATTGTTCAACGCGCTCAGCTAGATCGGACGAGGAGTTGGAGTTACAACTCCATGTCGGCGCGAGTCTGACGTATCAGTATCTTATGCAGGTTAATGATACTGACCGTCCTGGTGGACCATCGTCACCCGTAGCGATTCGACCGCGAAGTACTACCGTCGTTGAGGTCGTCTCCGGCAAGGACAGCGAGAAACCTAGATTAGCTGACATGGAATTCGAGCAAAATAGACGGGATACGATCAGGGAAGGTAGAACGACGTTCGACGTCGTGTGTGCATTTGACGAGATGGAAGTTGAGAGTGGCATTCCTAAGGTGCCCATGGGTCTTGCTGTGTGAACATCATTCTTCATTCGCTTGGGTTCGTTTGTTTTATTTTATACGTATGACTATACCCGTCGCTCGTTTCTCACATGGTATTATTGGAATTAGAACTTGTAAACTGTCATTCCTTCTCTTGATTCATCTACAGGGGTGTGAAAAGAAAATAGATACTGGTGGATGGTGCATACGTTTATATAGCTAATTGTCGTACAGGTAAAAATACAAGCGGAAGAGGGAAAAAATCGTACAATTACGACAAAAAATCGAACTACATTTAATTAGCGTGTAATATCTGGTGAACGCCCCCTAAGTTCACCAAGCTCAATATCCCCATTCGCAAGGCTCGTAAACCTATCAAGCACAGCCGCCCTCAAACTACTCGGCTCCAACGAATGTCCATCATCAGTATACACTTCAGCCTCAGTGCTAACAGATACAATAATCCTCCCCCTCTCCGACAACGGCGGGGGCGGTGGAAGAAGCTCAAGCTCAAACTCAGGTTCTTGAACTTCGACGGGCAGAGGTGCAGGACTGTCCGCACTTTGCGAGCTCTGCGGATCGAAGAACGAACACCTTGCAAGCTCAACCGACGCACCCGTCCGAGAGAAGGTAAGAGTAGACTCCACCTTCCCGGTACTTGTACCGCAATCCCCTTCGAGTTCTCCCAACGCCCAATTCCAACCTTCTCCTATCCGTCCATTCCCTGTCTCCACTGCCGCCTCGCGCAGGTTCAGGAGAAGCCGTGCAGTACAGACTGACATGACTGTACGTAGGAGTGGTATGAGCGAGATGATGAGCCCTCGTCGTCTGAAAGGGAGACCTGCGTATAAAGCGAGGTTCGCGACGCTCGCGGCTAAAAAAGGAGTTCAGATAACTTGGACGGGCTACAAATTGGAGAAGATATGAACCTAGCATGATCAGATAGAACATAATGCCTAAAAGAGAATTGAGAACATCTCAGCGATAGCGTGTCAGTGAATAACACTGATAGACTTACCATCCCGGAAGAGAATATGCAATAACCGACTCTGGTCCTTCTTCGCTCTCCGAATGCCCTCTACACGCACCACCGTTAAAGCAAACACAATAGTATCAAACGCTATTAAGGCAGCCCAAGACGGTATTGCCTGCGATATGGAAATGTCGTTCAGAGCGCCATAGCACCCTAGAATCTGCTTGGTTCTGGGTCATAGCGTAGGTGAATATAATGATCTAACTACATAGTTGCCCTGGCTTACACGGGACGGTCTTGGACTAAGAAATCTAAATAAGCAAGGAATTTGTGGTGCACGGATGAAGGCACGTACAGGAAAGTGATTTCGTGATGAGAGCTATTGAAGCAATGATTGTGCCATCTGTTGCCTGCAAGTCATTTCATCAATGGAATAGGTCGATAAACGATTGAAACATTTCGTACCAGGAGTGCCGCGAGCAGGAAAACAAGGATCTTTCGATTTTGTTCCCACAAGGCAAGTGTTCGCAGAATGAGTATAACTATAAGATGTCAGTTAGGTTCGGTGAGAAAATGATTGACGATGTGCCAACCTTGGACGGGGATAATAAAGACAACCATAGACCTGGAGGGTACATTCAGGACGTCTGATGGTCACACAGAGGCGTATAAATTCTTACCAGGCTTCCACATAATTTGAAACAACGCAACTATAAGTGACAATTAGCAACATTTTTTTCTGAAGGGATGGTCTTCGTTTAAACACTGACAACTGATTATCTGTCAAGCCGCGAAAAGCAGGAGGATAGGGAAGATTGGCTCACGTTAAAAGGGGAAAAGTAATCAAACATATCTGCAAATCCGTAAGCGGCACTTTCAAAGGCGAGTCTACGAGGATGACATACACACGAGTAAGAAGACGGATATGAGAAACACCGGATACCTGTTCAAAATGAACAAAACCTTTCCGGTTGTCCACCGCGCCTTCCACACGAGCTCTAGCTGCAAGGGCGAGTTAAGCCATATTCATTCAAGCTTGGACCAAACCAATTTACCTCTCTATATGTGTATTAGCCGTATGTCAACGTAGTTATCATGAGAATCTCAGACGTACCTGGGAAACGTCAAGACCATATCATACAAAAATATCACAAATGCCGCCACTGGTTCAAACACGATCAGTACATCAACAAGCGAGGCACCAAGCCTTTTTCCAACATACACGTGAGATACTAAGTTCAAATGATCCGTTAGCACATACAACAAGACAGTATTCAACTGAGTGACTCACGTTCGTCGTTCGCGTATCCGAAACGATCTGCGGGAGCAGAGCAATCTGCTCAGCGGTGGTGGCCATGGGGGCATGAAAGAGGAAGGAAAGACGACTACACCGCGCCACGCCCGTATTTTCTTTATGGGCTATGTCGGAGCCGGTATGGTAGTATTCGAGTATCAACACCGGTTTCGGCGACAGAATTACCAACCAGGAATCAATTTCGGGCGAGACAACTCCTTGGACGTTCAAGCCGGTCCGCGCCACAAGCAAAAGGGGAAAGAAGCTCTATAAAGCCTTGGAACGGGAATGATATGTTGTTCATTTGTTCACGAGAATCGGGATAAGTAGCTTCAACTGGACAGCGTGATACGCATGTAGATGCCCAGACGAGGAATCTCGCCGAAGTTGAGGTCCAAAAATGAAACACTCTACAAAAGTAAATATATTTTTAGAGTCCAGTACTTGTCCATTGCGAGGTCCCTAGCAGTGCAGGTTCCAGATATGATGCAGATTAAAACAACTCTTTCCGATTGGTATATATGTTGTATTTAGTGTAGATTACAACTTGACTGTCCTGTAATTGTTGCGAAGAACCACATCTTTGACTCCCTGGAGCAGTTGGCGGGAAGTATTGCTCATCGTTGCAGAGAACAACGAAAGATGTTCGGTCGTCTCGATGGAGAATGAAATAGTCGAATGTTTAAGTAAAGCACCACGGATCAAACGAGTTTTGATGCAGAGAGTTCTCACGATCACAAGTTATGTGGGTGGTGAAGTTCCCGACTATTATTTCATAAATTCCTTTCACTTGCTTTAAATCAACAAAAGCAAAAACGATACAGCCTGTTTTAACAGAATAGCAGCAGTTTAAGTCAAAAAAACACTTTAAATTACACAAACATAATCAAGTCGTAAAGTTATACAAAATATCCAGGATATAGCGAATAAACAAAAGTCGTTTCCCTCCACTACCGTCCGTACACATACTAGTAACAAAGCACAAAATCAACAGTGCGTATATGAAAATTATTTACAAATGATCCACTTTAGATCTAAGGGGTTTCAAACTTGTAAGACAGCGTATGAGATAGCGATCACCTCTACAAAGGTTTGCCGTGCCCAAGCGCATCGACAACAGCATGTGTTCGTAACAACAAGGCAGACTAACAAGGCGTAAGCAGCAGGCAAATGAAGATGATATTAGTGGAGAGGCGTACCTCCAGGCTGTATTTTCCCTTCTTCGTATGCGCATTGATCTCTAACGATTTCCCTACGCGTACGACTTATTAATAACACATTAAAATCAGCGATATTCATCACCACTCACCAGAAAGAATGAGGTCGAAATGCTTTCGCGCCTCGTCTTTCTTCCCCATACACGCATACAATCGACCCATCTCAAAGTGCGTATAATACACCAAGTGATGGTCGAGTTCGATCTTAGGCCCGTTTGTGAGAACACGTTGAAGCGCAGCGAGTCCGCGTTTCTCCGCTTCCTCTTTTGAGATATTGATTTTCTCTCGTTCTTCTAGGTCTACGATCGCATTTGGTTCCTAATCCCAACGTCAGTTCATAATTTCCACCTCAAACGATGTAATGGAAAGCTCACAGGATGAGCGATATACCGATAACAAACTCCCTCCAGGAAACTCGCAAGACAGAGGTCATCCCAATATCCACCATTCCCGCCTTCATACTTTTTCGGATCCTTCTCGTGAGCCCTCAACTTCGCTTGACACTCAGAGATCGCAGCGAGCATCTTATCTACGATAACAGAATACGGTGCTCGGGCGATAGCGAGGTAGAAATACGAGAACTCAAGAGCAGCGAGGGCAAGTCGACTGTTTTGTTTTTGGAATTTCCGAGCTTTCCGAGACACGAATTTCTGAAAACGAGGTAAGACCTGTAGTTCAAATAGAAGAGGACTCCGTATAGCTTACCTCTAAGGGTATTGACTTGCCAGCAATACGCTTCATCAACTTAGGTACCTTCTCCATCCACGTGGCAGCCTCCTTCATATTCTCCTCCCCACCCAACGAAACAAGGCATACAGCAATTCCATACGCATAACAAGCCTTACTCCATGTCGCCTCCTCACTCAATACACGCCAGCATGGTAACGACTCTGCAAGGTTATACAGCGCGAAATTCGCAATTGCAATTTCCCAATAACTGATCATATGCAGATTGCGATACTGCGACTGTGTCTCCATCGCGGTTGTATAGCTCTGAATCGCGCGTTTTGGTTGACCACGGACAAGGAAGAGACGGCCTTGGCCGAAGAGGAAGAAGACACCTCGAGGATATCGCTCAAGGTTCCAGTTAAGGACGTTTTGTGCACGGAGTATGTCTACGTCTGGAGAAGCGGCGAATGTACAGATGACGAGGTGGTACATGAGGAGGGCCATATCGCAGAGTGCACGTCGCACCCCCTCCTGTTCTATGCTGACGGTAGGTGTCGCGGCGTCTGGGTGAGATGTTTCGCGCCATCCACCCGCACGGTAAAGCAACTCGAGTCCCTCTTTACGATCTCCTTTAAATCCGAAAAGCTCAACAACCGTCTGCAACGGTCCAGGCAGGAGAGTCAGAATTATATTTGACAGCCCAGCACCAAGGAGCACGCCAGATCGGAAGTCAGGATCGACTGATTTATCTTCTGGACCTTCTCCACGTGCGCACGCCTCCTCGTCGACAGTCTTGAGATAATTATACAATTGCCGGTAAATGATAACCAATGTCCGCATGTGTAAACTAAGAGGAAACACATGAGTTTGATACGTGGCTTTAATTATAACTGAACTTACGCCTCTTTGAAGAATGAGATCCAGTCACCTGAGTAGATTATACCCAATAGAGCCTGTCGATCCGCATAAGTAAATTAGAACATCGGAAGCAGCACGGAGGTGTCCAATAACGACACGCATGTGTACGGATGTGCAAAGTGATCATACCTTTTCGAAGAGCGTTTCGGCATAGATCAGTTCCGCATGGCGCTCGACCGGCGTCATCGACTTGATATGATGTACCTCCGACGAGGAAGATACGAGACTGGCCAACCTCGACGTGAATGATGCCGACTTGCGGTGCTGGCTCGCGATGTTGTTCCCGTGGCGCGTGTGGCCGATGGCAGCAAGAAGGTCCTTGAAGGAAACGAAAAAGAGCACGTCAACCACACAGTAAAAAACGCGAATGATAAGTGGATTAACGACAAACGACAAACCTCGTCCTCATACGACATTAATGCTTTCACACACTGAATTAGACCGTATCCAGATGACATGTACAACCGTTCCCTGCCAATTCCAGTCAGATTCGTGAAATAAAGAAAAATACGAGCGAAATAAATAAATAAATCGGTTCCGTCATAAACGCGTCACTTGCGCAAGCACTCACATGGTCGGGTTACTCTCCATCATGAACTGCTCAGCCTCAACCATGTGGGAAGCGAGGAAAAGATCAAGTGCGTGCTTGACAACAGGTAGGTCTTCCAGTGCTCTATCCTGTGTGTAGGCGCCCTCCCACTTCTTGACAGTCATCTTTGTCAGTAGAGACGGTGTCGAATTTGTTGCCGAAGCAGACGTTGGTGCAGTTGACTGTACGGAGGACATATTGCTGGATAATGTGTCTGTAGGAGAGCCTTGGTGGCTGTCAGAAGACATTGCAAAAGGGACAGAAAGATGGCTAGGATCGTGGCATGAAAATATATAGGGATAATAGGCAGGGAAGGGCAGTTGTAGTCTACTAGTGGTTGATGTGGTCACACGCACCAGATTTCTATGCACGTGCTGATGTAATTGTATTCAGTTCACATGGGGCATTTCACAATTTCTTGCCTTAAGAAAT